AATGAACTCTTTATTGTGCTGTGGCATGATTTTTTTTTTTTTTGCAGGTTTAAGTACTGACTTGCCTCCCTCCATTCGGAATAAGTTGTATATACTATGTAAAGCTGCATTTGATCTACTAGAGTGCAGCATTTGGGAGCGGAAGCATAATACAGGAGTTAGCAGGAGGGACTAAATCGGGGTTCTTGGTTAGGTTTTCTTACTCCCGTTACCGACCGCTGTTCTTGGGTTAACGCTTCCATTCCTTTTTGTAATGGGTTATGTGTGTCATTCTGTTTTGTTTTTTTTTTTCCTTCACTATAACAAGGAGAACGGTGTGGAAAGTAAAAGCAGTAAGATGTCGTTTTGATCAGTATTAGAAAACATGATTTCCTTTTTTGGGAAAGAACACTAGATTTGGAGGGTGGGAAAGAGAAGCACCTTAGAATGTCGAGTTTAATAATCTCAGCCTAGGCAGACTTGTCAGGCTGATTGTGCTGGCTTTGGGAGAATGGAGGTGGGATGGGAAACTAGCTTTTCTTAGTTAATTTTGAATTGCATATGGTTTAAGAAAGGAATATGTTAAATATTTGGAAACTTAAACCTTTAACATTTTGGTTTTTATTTCTGAATTCTGTTCTTTGGACAGAGGCACCAAAATGATTAATTGTATAACGTGCTGTTTGGGGCAGGCTTTAGCCCTGATTTTTCAAATCACAAAGCAGCTGCCTTTGTAGTTTCCTACTGTTGAACTGAAGTGTAAATGAATTAAAGTTTTTAGCCCTAACAATGTCAAAAACTAAAACTAGAATTTTGATTGGTTGCTGTACCGGTTGTTAATTCCCTAGCCATTCAAACTCCTCCCCACGACACTCTGAAGCAGCGACGGCACAGCGGGAAGAATGGTAAAACTTTTAAATTTTATTTCTGTATTATAAAGGTTTCAGTAGTCATAACATGCAGAGGCTGTGTATTGGTTAGTTGCCCATTGATCCCCAGGAAATTCTAGACATAGTACAGTAGGATATCTTGTGCCTGGGATATAAAACCTTTTTAGGCATCGTGTGTGATCTTTGGGCAAAATTAATGCCATTACATGGTTTTTGGTCTGTGGTAATGCATGTAATTGTGGTTTGGTTAAATAAAACTTAATATAATTAGTAATATTTTTATATTTGAACAAGAAAATATAGTACAGTAATTTTAAATTTGATTTCTTTTTTTAGGACAGATATTTTTGTTGGATGTCTAAGTTTAATGTTAAATGGGAAGGTTACTTGATACAAAATCTTGTGTGTTTAAAATGTCTTGCATGTTTTACTGAAATATTTTGGATATGTGAAAAGTAAAACAATTTTTAAAGTAGCGTGTGTATGTATTGTGCAAAAATTTATTTATTTATCTCCAGCCATATTTGTAAGTAGAACTTGAATAACGATTGGATATGTACTAATCAGAGGCGGGCTGATGTGGCTTTTCACTACATTCAGCTCTTACGAGATTTTTTATTTTCAGTGTGATTTGGTTGGAATGTTAATTACAGTTGGTTGGTTCACATGTAGCTGAAATTGCATGACTTTTTCTTGGAAGGCTGGTAGATTATTGTTCTTTTTATCCCTCGTTTCCCCTAAATGTCCATCTTTCTGCTTTTAGGATTGATTATATTTGAGTTTTCCAGGAGTTTGTATCCACTACCACTGGAGTTTAGAGGACCAGTAATTTGTAGATAGTTGACTTAGAGCTGTACAAACTACATTCTATTTGAAGAATCCAATTGGGATAACATTTAAATTTTACACGAGCTTTACTTACTACTATATTCTCATCTACTGAAATCTGTCCAGTTTTACATTGCAGATAAAGCAGACTGGAAATAGGCAAAAGGGAAAAGTAAAAAGACTGGGGTTAGTTTGACATACAAAATAAGACACTTTTGATGAAAATAATCCACTTGGCACTGTGATTGTTCATTTTCACTGTTAATTGTGTCAAATTAAGTAAGATTAAACTGTTACTCTTGACTTTTTTACTCTATTACATATTTTAAATCTTACATAAGCAGTTCAGTGATTAGAAAGGACCATAAACTTAGGTCTGAGATCATTGTTACGATTCTTGTAAGAATTACTCTTGCCCTGCTACCCAATAATGTAACTTCACAAGTTTTTTGAACAACCTCTTAAGGAAAAATGGACAATTAAATATTGATAGTGAAAGTTTTAGATTATGATCTCTTTTAATTTTCTGCAAGTAGGATTTAACAGAGTTGCATTCTAAGTTAAGCAAGTTTACATTTAACAAATAATCTTTGTTTTAGAGTTTAGTGTTTGACTTTTTAAAGTTACTGCCTGATCAGCCAGCCTCATCCTGTTTCAGATACTATTGTTTTCTTTTTGGTTTGTGTACTTGCCCACTCTCTGTTCCTTTCTGTCTCCCAGTTTGAGGGATATCGTGCAGCAGTTTCATAGTAGTCTGAGGAGTGAGGATAAGACTGGGTCTACTAGATATAAAATCATCTGAATTTAGTTTCTTAAACACATTTGGTTTGCATTAGTTTTTATAATTTTAACTTGAATAAAGTGATTACATTTCAATCCTAAAAATATTTAAAAAATGAGTTTGTTGTGGACTTAAAGTTTGTTTTTTTAAAGTTTTAATTTTGAGAGAGCATGAGTGGGGGGATGAGCAGAGAGGGGGAGAGAGAATCCCAAGCAGGCTCTGAGCAGGCTCTGTCCTGTCAGCGTGGAGCCCCACGTGGGGCTTGATCCCACAGTGAGACCATGATCTGAGCCAAATTCAAGAGTCATACACTTAACTAAGCCACCCAGATACCCCAAAGTTTTTTTTTTTTTTTAATGTTGAGTATAAGAATAAACAGTTGTTCTTAGGAGGGCATGCCTGTTACACTTCTTGTGGATGTTTCCACACTTAAGACCTTTAAAGTAATTATTTCTGTAATAAAATGCTTTTCTCAGTTCACCGTATTTTTATCTTTCCAACTCAACATTCCTTGTTTTTACTTTTAAGCAATTGCACTGGAATTTCCCATTTTGGTGTGGGCTCATGTTCTTTACTGGGCTTCAGTTCTTTTAGAGTAGGTAACAATTTTGTGTTGGTCAAAATATACACGTCATATAGTAAGCTACTGGAGGAGAGTTTGTTTCAAGATCAGTGGGAAACTATAATACTTTGTTAGCTTTCAGACAGTTTTATAAGGTAGGTACATTGACTTGCCCGCATTGGACTGGACAGAAAGCAAAAATAGTTCCATTCGGTTATCAGCCAAAATACAGCAGTACTTTTCTAACAGGGCAGTAGATCTAGTCCTATAACCATTAGCATATAAACTAAAGTGTGATTTTTTTGTTTGGGAATTTTGTGAATTTTACTGTCGGTTGACTGCTGTCTGATTTTTAAGAAATGGTCATACATGTTTTTGTTTTAAATATTTGAGATTATTATCTATACCCTATTGCTTTTGGGGCATTCTGAACGTCGCTTTCTAAAACACTTTTAGAGCAATCTCATACCTAATTTACTGGCCTTTAATTCAGTCAATTTGGGTTTACTGTAAAAGTTGAGACCCTGAGTAGATCGTCTGAATTTTAGTGTTCTTTGGGACCTTTGATAAGTTTCTAGTGTTAAAATTGCAGAAATTAATGCTCCCAAGTCTCAAGATGGTGAACATGTAAAGGAGGAGTATTAAATTCTTTTCATTTCAAAATCTTTAATATGGAAAATACTAAAAATCCACTGACCTTTAGGGTTTGGAATTAGAGAAAATCATTGAGGATTTTCAGTGCTGCCTTTTGAGATAAATACTTGGCCTTAGGCCTGGGTTTTTCCCTCAAATCATGTGATCTCTTCTATAAGTATATTTACTGTGTATTTTTTTTTTTTTTTTTTTTTTTTACTGTTTTCTGTTTGAGAGTGAGTGAAAGAGCGTGTGAGTGGAGGAAGGGCAGAGAATCCCAAGCAGGCCCCCATCTCACGATCTTGCAACTGCGAGCTCATGACCTGAGCCGCTGTTAAGAGTGGATGCTCAACCGACTAAGCCACCCAGGCGCCCCTTTACTGTGTATTTTTAATATTGTCTGGCTCTTCTGTTCCCTGTAAGGCTGCTCTAATATAAGAAAGTTTTGAATCCACTATTGGGATTTGTGGTTTATGTCCAATATGGAGAATTAGTTTTAGTCTTCAGGTGATAATGTGTTATGCTTGAAAGCATTTTAAAAGGAGTAGAATAATAACTTTTTTCCTATTCCACTCAAAGCTGTGCACTTCAAGTATGTGTGCAGATTGACAAATGGAATGAAATATAACTCTGTTAGTTCAAGTTTTATTTGACTTTAGTTCTGCTTCAACATTTTAGTAGATAGGGCACTGAACTGGATGCTGGAAGCGTGGGATCTTTTTCTGTTACTTCACTTCAAACAGTGTGGTTTCAGGTAATATAACCTGTTTGTTACTTGGTTTGCTGATCTATGTGTTGGAAACAATGCTCATCACAGGAAGATTGACCACATAGCCTGCTTTCATAGCTTGTGTGTGTTTATCCGGTGCCTTAATAGTTGATACTGCCAGTGATTTACTCCTGTGGAGTAAAGGTAAGCATGTTTTAGTTTCTGGAGTATTAAATTGTATATTGGAGCTAGATGTTCAAGACTATTTGGGGGTGGGGAGACTTTATTACTGGTAGTGTTTGGCCAATAATCAAGGTGATAGTTTAAGTATTGGTCATGTCTTGTAAACTCCTGCTTATCTGGATTTGAGATACCACACAGTTCAAGCTAGGAAATTCTCCCTCTCCCCCTTTAGTCTTGTAAGAAACACAAATGAAAAATTACTAGCAAATATACTCAAAAAGCAACCAATAGGCATTGTCATGGAAGCAATCTTCTATAATTTTTCTTTTCTACTGTTAAAAAGTAATGTGATTTTAAAGCATTGCAAGAGTCTTAAAATTTCATCAAGAAAGGCAAAAATCATTTTCTGAGTTCAGTGTTGATGTCTAAATTGATTTCCAATGGAAAACTACAGAATTGTGAGTGTGTAGTAATCTCAGTTAACCAGAACTTTAACCTCTAGGTTAAGGAAACCCCATTCCTTAACCTTCAGGTAGATGGGAGTTTACCTTTTAAAGCTGATCGAGAGATTATTTTAAAAGCAAAATTACAGGAAGTCATTCTTTCCTTGGAATGAAAGGAAAAAGGGGAGATTTTTGGGTTGAACATTTAAAAACTGTCATTTTATTAGTTATGTTTTCAACTTAATTATCTTTTTTAGTCATAGAAGTTCATTCTAAAGGATGAAGTAGCACTGAGACTTCATATACTAGGCTAGAGGAGTTAATCTTTACTGACTTATTAAAAGTTTGTCAGTCTGTTTCCAAAGGTATTTTTTATACAAATTGTAAAATGATTACCCTACCATATGGTGTCATCTGGTTGTAAAAAGTAACCCCTGCCCCCCGTTATAGGTAACTAGTTACTTAACTTTAAATGTATACTTTCTAAGGAAAAAATACTGATTTTACTCATGTTGGTGGGATTTCATTATATTTTGTCATTTTAGGATTTTAAATGAATAATTTTAATGATAACACACTAGAAAATATAAATAAGAATTGGTGGCTTACTTGAGTAATATTCTGAAAGGTGACAGTGATTGGCCAGTCATGTTATGTACTTGACATTTCTGTTGTGTTTTTTAAACTGTCAGAACTTGTTATGAAACCACATACAGGAGTTGTTAGGAAGTGTTTGAAAATTACAGAATATTTTTTTTGACCCTATTTCAAAATTGAGAGTGTAATGGTGTTTATCATTTTACCTTGAAAAAGGTGTTTCAACTTCTTAGGAGAAGGACTTTAAATAAAGTAACTATTGACTTTGGAGTGTTAAAC